ACGGTGGTGGTGGGGACAGAGGTGAGGGGACAGCGGGACAGTGGTGGGGACAGTGGGACAGTGGTGGGGACGGTAGTGGTGGGGACCGTGGTGAAGGCGGTGGTGAGGACAGTGGTAGGACAGCAGGACAGTGGTGGGACAGTGGTGGGACAGCGGTGGGGAACGTGGTGGGGACAGTGGGGACAGTGGGACAGTGATGGGGACAGTGGGGACGGTGGGACATCACAGTGGGACAGCGGCGGGGACAGTGGGACAGTGGTGGGAACAGTGGGGACAGTGGGACAGTGGTGGGAATTCAATGGAAATTAATTGCAGAAGATCCGTGAGTGGATCAATCTGGACTGATGAGGCTATGATGCTTCTTTTGCATTTGAGCCCGCTATGATGCCCGTTCGTGCCCACCCCGTCCCGTCTTCAGGGACTTCGCATCCCCCTGTGATGGTAAAATGGAAAGACGGGCCGCGGCCCCTGGCACTGCACGTACAGTGCCAGGTTTGTGGGGATTTGGCTCGCCCCCGCAGTTCCAACGATGGAAACTGCGAGGGGCGTGAGGCCTCATGGTGGTCCCCACTGGTAATAAGGCCTATGATGGTCCTCGCCGAGGGAGAGGGCAAGGGCGGACGTCCACCAACAACGTCCGTCGTGCTCATACTCCGGGAATTGCAGCGTGACCACACTCATGAATCAGACGACCGTGACATCCACGAACACGACCCGACCTATGATTGCGGACTCCGTGAAACGCACCGTGACCACGCTCATGACCACGAAAACCGTAAAATTCACAAGCACGACTCGACCTATGATTGTGGACTCCGTGACATGCACTGTGATCGCACTCGTGATCACGAAGACCGTGAAACACACGAGCACGATCCGACCTATGATTGCGGACTCCGTGAAATCCCCTGTGACCACACTCATGAACAAGAAGACCGTGACATTCACGAGCACGACCCGACCTACGATTGCGGACTCTCTGAAACGCACCATGAACACACCCATGATCACGGAAACCGTGAAATTCACGAGCACGACCCGATCGAGGCCGAGGTGATGCCCGCTCTGCCTGTATCGCGGCTCCGATGGTGTGGAGACCAGGAGGAGGAGGAGAAGGAGGAGGAGGAGGAGGACGACGACGCGAAAGTTGAGTTCGACCCCCCCCCACCCTCGAAAACCGGGGGGGGGTCACTACCGGTTCGAAACCCTCCCCCCCCCACGCTCACCGCCAGCAAACAACTCTGGGTCCTTCCCGCCGTCCGCACCACATCCCCACTGCTGTCCCCAGCACCACTGTCCTCACCACTGCTGTCCCCACTGTTCCCACCACCGTCACCACTGTGCTCACCAGTGCCCTCACCACGGTCGCACTGTCCCCACTGCCCCCACCACTGTTCCCACCACGGTTCCACTCTCCCCAGTGTCTCCACGGCCCCAACCACAGTCCCACTGTCACCACTATCCCACTGTCCCACTGTCCCCGCCGCTGTCCTACTGAGCTGTCCCACTGTTCCCACCACTGTCCCCACTGTCCCCACCACTGTCCCTACTGCACCTCTGTCCCATTATCCCACCGCCGTCCTCGCCACCGCCCTCACCACTGTCGCCACCACCACTGTAGCATGCTCTCCCTTAGTCAACCGCGAACGGGACCCAGTCCCCTGCCGGTCGTCTAGTGCCGCCATCATAGGCAACCAGAGGGGCCATCATAGGCACCTCGCACCCAATTCGGGGCCATCAGCAAGGCTCGTTTTGGGAAGAAGGACCATCATAGGCCTTCGCGCTCACTTTGTTCATTGAATTCAACTTTCGCGTCGTCCTCCTCCTCCTTCTCCTCCTCCTCCTCCTCCTGGTTTCCACACCATCGGAGCCGCGATACAGGCAGTGTGGGCATCCCCTCGGCGTCGATCGGGTCGTGCTCGTAATTGCACGGTTTCCGTGATCATGGGTGTGTTCACGGTGCGTTTCAGAGGGACCGCAATGGTAGGTCGGGTCGTGCTCGTGAATGTCACGGTCTTCTTGTTCATGAGTGTGGTCACAGGGCATTTCACGGAGTCCGCAATCATAGGTCGGATCGTGCTCGTGTGTTTCACGGTCTTCGTGATCATGAGCGCGATCACAGTGCATGTCACGGAGTCCGCAATCATAGGTCGAGTCGTGCTTGTGAATTTTACGGTTTTCGTGGTCATGAGCGTGGTCACGGTGCGTTTCACGGAGTCCGCAATCATAGGTCGGGTCGTGTTCGTGGATGTCACGGTCGTCTGATTCATGAGTGTGGTCACGCTGCAGTTCCCGGAGTATGAGCACGACGGACGTTGTTGGTGGACGTCCGCCCTTGCCTTCTCCCCCCCGGCGAGGACCATCATAGGCCTTACCAGTGAGGACCACCATGAGGCCTCGCGCCCCTCGCAGTTTCCATCACTGGAACTGCGGGGGTCGAACCAAATCCCCACAAACCTGGCACCGTACGTGCAGTGCCAGGGGCCGCGGCCCGTCATTCCATTTTACCATCGCAGAGATGCGAAGTCCCGAAGACGGGACGGGGTGGGCACGAGCGGGCATCATAGCGGGCTCAAATTCAAAAGAGGCATCATAGCCTCATCAGTCCAGATTGATCCACTCACGGATCTTCTGCAATTAATTCCCTTTGAATTCATTCCATGCGTAGCATGCTCTCCCCTAGTGGACCGCGAACGGGACCCAGTCCCCTGCCGGTCGTCTAGTGCCGCCATCATAGGCAACCACAGGGGCCATCATAGGCACCTCGCACTCAATTCGGGGCCATCAGCAAGGTTCGTTTTGGGAAGAAGGACCATCATAGGCCTTCGCGCTCACTTTGTTCATTGAACTCAACTTTCGCGTCGTCCTCCTCCTTCTCCTCCTCCTCCTGGTCTCCACACCATCGGAGCCGCGATACAGGCAGTGCGGGCATCACCTCGGCGTCGATCGGGTCGTGCTCGTAAATTGCACGGCTTCCATGATCATGGGTGTGTTCACGGTGCGTTTGTGTCGTGCTCGTGAATGTCACTGTCTTTTTACCTAGCAGCGAAGATTCTTAGGTTTCTAGTGGGCTCAAAAGAAAGTATCATGACTCCCCAGGGGGGTCTTGGCAGGATCCGGACGGATGCCGGGGAAAACCGGGGACTCCCCAAAACCTTATTGTAGGCCACATTTTGACTGCCTGCAACCAACAGAACACCATTCCCAGGCCACATTTTGAATGCCCGGATTCAACTGTAGGCCATTTCGTGTTCTTCGTGCTCCCAGAACACCACTCCCAGGCCACATTGTGAATGCCCGGAGCCAACTATAGGCCACTTCGTGTTATTCGTGTTCCAAGAACACAACTCCCAGGCCATACTTTAAATGCATGGAGCCACTTGTAGGCCACTTCGTGTTCTTCGCGTTCCCAGAACACCACTCCCAGGCCACATTTTGAATGCCCAGAGCCAACTGTAGGCCACTTCGTGTTTTTCGTGCTTCCAAAACACCACTCCCGGGCTACATGTTGAATGCCCGGAGCCAACTGCACGCCATTTCGTGATTTTCGTGTTCCCAGAACACAACTCCTGTATTATATTCTGATTCCAAGGAGCCAACTGTGGCCCGTTTCGTCATCTTCGCGTTCCCAGAACACCAGTCTTTTGCCATATTTGGAATGCCCGAGCTGGGGCAGGCTGGGGCCGAGGCAGGCTGAGGCCGAGGCACGCTGACGCTGAGGCTGAGGCTGAGGCTGATGCAGGCCGAGGCTGAGGCTGAGGCAGGCTGAGGCTGAGGTAGGCTGAGGCTGAGGCTGACGCAGGCTGAGGCCGAGGCAAGCTGAGGCTGAGGGTGAGGCAGGCTGACGCAGGCTGAGGCTGAGGCAGGCTGAGGCTGAGGCTGAGGCTGATGCAGGCGGAGGCCGAGAGGCTGACGCTGAGGCCGAGGCAGGCTGAGGCTGAGGCTGAGGCCGACGCAGGCTGAGGCTGACGCTGATGCAAGACGAGGCAAGCCAGTGCAGGCTGAGGCTGAAACTGAGGCTGAAGGTGAGGCTGAAGCTGAGGCTGAGGCAGCGGCTGAGGCTGAGGCAAGCTGCGGCTGAGGCAGGCTGAGGCTGAGGCTGATGCAGGCTGATGCAGGCTGATGCAGGCTGAGGCTGAGGCAGGCTGAGGCTGAGGCTGAGGCAGGCTGAGGCTGAGGCTGAGGCTGAGGCCGAGGCAGGCTGAGGCTGAGGCCGAGGCTGAGGCTGAGGCAGGCTGAGGCTGAGGCTGAGGCTGAGGCAGGCTGAGGCTGAGGCAGGCTGCGGCTGAGGCTGACGCAGGCTGAGGCTGAGGCCGAGGCAGGCTGAGGCTGGGGCCGAGGCAGGCTGAGGCTGAGGCTGAGGCTGAGGCTGAGGCTGAGGCTGAGGCAGGCTGAGGCTGAGGCATGCTGATGCTGAGGCCGAGGCAGGTTCAGGCCGAGACAGGCTGAGGCTGAGACGGAGGCCGAGGCTGAGGATGAGGCCTTGGCAGACCGAAGCTGAGACAAGGTGAAGCTGAATGGGGGGGGAAGTGGGGGGGAGGAGGAGGGGAG